CCATCCCTTTTTTCTATAGGCCTGGTCCTTACATCTTTCTCACTCAAATATTTTGTCCCCCTCCCAATTTTTTCTTTGTTTTTTGGAAAAGGATGGAGAGAGATAAAGGGGAGGGTAGAAATGAATGTCTGCGAAAGAAGTAGGTCAAACAGAGTAGATTTTTATTAAATCTTGGCACATTCTAAATATAGGACCTCTGATCCATAAAAGGAATAGAAAATCTTCATGGAATAATACTTTTCTTTACTTGAATACTGTACCCCTACCTTCTCCCTTTAGGCTAGCAAAAATAAAGGATGTACTTGGTGGCTCATACCTGTAACCCCAGCACTCTGGGAGGCCGAGGCAGGTGGATTGCCTGAGCCAGACCGAGACCCCGTCTCTTAAAAGTAGCTGGGCCTTGTGTTGGGCACCTGTAGTCCCAGCTACTTGGGAAGCTGAAGCAAGAGGATTGCTTCAGCCCCTGAGTTTGAGGTTGCTGTGAGCTATGACACTACAGCACTCTACTGGGGGTAAGAAAGTGAGACTGTCTCAAAAAAAAAAAAAAAGGAAAAAAGGATAAAAAGGATGTAGAAAAATTTAAAGAAAACTGAATGGTACATAAGCAGTTTTGGTGTACTTATTGCATTATACCTGTCCTTCAAGGTATGGCTTAAGTCCCATTTCTTTATTAAGTTTTAAATTGATTTTTTCTAGCTACTTCCTAGTTGTGTAACACACAACTATATATCTGAGATGGGCTGAATAAAGATGTCCACGTTCAAGTCCTTGGAATGAGTGAACACTAGATGGCAAAAGAAACTTTGCATGTATGATTAAATTAAGAACTTTTAGATGGGATGTTATCCTGGATCATGGAGGAGGCTTTAATGTAATCACACAGCTCCTTAAGGAAGGTAGGAGGATCACTGGGATGGAAGGTGACACAACAATGGAAGAGGGGAAGAAAAGTCCATATGATGTGGGGCCATGAACCAAGGAAAGCTGTGACCTTTGGATGCTGGGAAAGGCAAATTCTAGGGAACAAATTCTTCTCTAGAGCCTCTAGAAGCAAGCAGCCCTTCCGACACTTTAACCATAGTCCACTTAGCCTGATTTCAGACTTCTAAGCTCTAGGATGTTCTTAAGATAATAAAATTGTGTTTGAGGCTACCAAGGTTGTGGTAGTTTAGCAGCAATAGGAAATGAACATGACATCATGTCCTTTCCATTCCTGTAGGTCTGTTCCATATAATTTAGCCCTTTATTGTCATGTTCACAAATTATGCCTTGTATAAATGATAGAATATAAATTCTTGGTGGACAGGAATCAGGACTATCTTTTTATTCTTCACAGTGCTTAGTCCTGTCCTAGTTATTTGGATATTTGGAGTGGATTATAACTTTGGTGCATAGAAGGGAATAGAGAAAATGAAAGGGATTTTGAAAACATAACTCAACAAACTTTATTTTCTTGCAATCAAGTCACTACATCTTGCTTTTGAGCTCTGTGACATACTGTGTCATGTTAGGTGCAAATTAGCCATTTAACGGAGACTAGAACACAGGGTACTCAACAAGCACCTGATACATTGAGTGGAAATCTGTGGGGGTAAAGAAAAGAGAAAGATAAAAGCAAGATGGGTCTGGTATAAAGTCCTCCTTGTCTATTTAGCTAATTGTCACATTAGTAAAGTTAAAGCTGAAAAAGAACATTCATTAAATTTCTACCATGAATTTTTCCTGAGAGCAGAACGGAGATGATAAAAATAAGCTGGACTTAACAGTTTAATTTCATCCATTGATTTTGAAGAACTGGTATTTTAAAATCCATGTAATATCCTTAATACCGCGCTAAGAGATAATGACCCACAGGACTGCAGATCTATTCTGAAGGGTCTTACCATCTAGTTGGGAGACAATACTAATAACCAAGGAAGGTGGTTACCAAGCAACGGGCTTGCTGCCCTACATGCATAGTAGCCAATAATATGGTGCTAGCTTTTGAAAAAATAAAAAGCTCTATTGTGATTTAACTGACAGGGAGGCAGGAAGCAACATTCAAATTTGTCTCCCTGATCTGTGTGTGTGGTGGGGGGTTGTCAACTTGTATGGCATTTCTAACTGCTCCCAGGTGATGCAATGCAGGTGGTCTGCCAAGATGGTGGTGGTAGCAGCAATTAGGTTAAAGCTTTTTCCTCCTGTGCATGCCTGGGCAACATGACTCATAATTTTGGCTTCCTGCCATGGGCAACAACTTTTTTTTTTTTATTATTAAATGATAGCTGTATACATTAATGCAAACATGGGGTACAGTGTAGTGTTTTCATATACATTTTGAAATACTTTCATCAAGCTGGTTCACATAAATTTCATGTCATTTGCATAGTCATTGTGTCAAAACATTTATATTCTAGTTCTAGAAAAGTTCACTTGCACCCTTGTTAGACAGATATATAGGTGATCTTTCTGGTCACCCTCCCACCACCCAGCCGTCCTTTTCCCCTCCCTTTTCCCACCCCCTCCCCATATTCTTGGGCTAGAATTAAGTTGTATCTTTCATTTGAGAGCTATAAATTAGTTTCATAAAAGGGCTGTGTACATTGGATACTTTTTCTTCCATTCCTGTGATACGTTGCTAAGAAGAACATTTTCCAAGCAAGTGGTTTATCAGTTTGAGCCGGTCCTATATTTACAAGGTTACCAGGCAGTGTATCTATTGTGTGATTCAGACCTTGGAGATTATACATCTTTGGAATTAAGAACTCGAGAATCAATACTTCATTCAGTCACCAAGTATTTACTGAGAACCTATTATGGTTCCCTATGAATATGAGTCCCTGGAATTTTCAATCTAACAGAGAAAGACAAGGGAAATAATTAATACAATAATAGATTAAGTGCTAAGTAGCAGGAGGATGCTTTGCAGTTGAGGAAAGATTATTATTGTAACTTTTTTTTAATATCTTTTTTTATTAAATTATAGCTGTGTACATTAATGCAGTCATGGGGTACAATGTGCTGGTTTATTGTAACTTCTTAATCAAAGAAGTGGGATTGTGAATGATTTTAAAGTAAAGGTATTATTTAGGCTCAGCTTTGAAAGATGAGTAGGACTTTCAAGAGACTATTCCAAGCTGAAGCATGAACAAGAGAACCAAAGACATGAAAAGCATAGTTTTAGGAGAATGCTCAGGTGAAATAAAATATATATATTATATAATTAATTAATTATATATAATATATAATTTTAATATAAATTTTATTATATGTAACAAAATTACATATAATTATATTATATAATACACATATAATATATAATTACATATATATAAAAAATATATTTTTTGCAATTTTTGGCTGGGGCCAGGTTTGAACCCACCACCTCCAGTATATGGGGCCAGCGCCCTACTCCTTTGAGCCACAGGCCCTGCCCTGAAATAAAATATTTTTGAAGGGTAGTGCATTATTTTCCTATTGCTGTTTTAACAAACTACCACAAACTTAAAACAATACACATTTATCATCTTAGAATTCTGTAGGTCAGAAGTCCAATCCAGACCTCACAGGGATAAAATCAAGGTGTAGGTAGGGCTGAGTTCCATCAGAGACGGAGGATTCTGGGGAATCAGCTTCCTTACTGTTTGCAGCTTCCAGAGGTCATCCACAACGGTGGTTGGAGACTCCCTTCTGTCTTCAAGGCCTTCAGTATTGCATCTCTCTAGTCATTCTTCTCAGTCATACCTATGTCAGGGGTTCTCAACCTGTGGGTTGCGACCCACAGGAAATGTATTACAGGGTCGCGGCATTAGGAAGGTTGAGAACCACTGCGACTTTTTTTTTGCCTCCATATTCCAGTTTTAAAACCCCTTGTGGTTACACTGGGCTCATTGCAATAATTCAGAACTATCTACTTTAACATCAGGAAATTAGCAACTTTCCCGTTTGCTATGCTAATTAACATATTCACAGGTTCCAGGTATTTGCTTTATGGACATCTTTGAGAAGCCATTATTCTGCCTAAGGTGGTAAGGAGAAATTTATCTTCAGAAGCCAAAAGAGAAAGGGGTGTGCATGCATTAAGAGGAATAGGGAGGGCGGCGCCTGTGGCTCAGTGAGTAGGGTGTTGGCCCCATACCGAGGGTGACGGGTTCGATCCCACCCGGCCAAACTGCAACAACAACAACAAAACATAGCGGGCACCTGTAGTCCCAGCTACTGGAGAGGCTGAAGCAAGAAAATCGCCTAAGCCCAAGAGCTGGAGATTGCTGTGAGAAAAAACATGAAGAGCAACAGGGAGCTGGTTCGTTTCTGAGGCTCGATATAAATTCTCATTCTTTTGAAAACTGCAACACAGGGAATTGTTGGAATAGGCAAAATCCGGGAGCAACATTAAGACGCCACCACTACATAGTGAGAAGCAGAGAAAGCATTAGCTGATGTCTCCATTCACTTCCAACAGTTTTCCATCAAAACTCATGACGTCATCCCACAGAATCTTAGCAAGCACAGCTTCCGGGAATTTGTCTGAATTTGTTTAGTAGATGCTGTAATGGAGACTGTAATCATTCACTTACAGTTCACAAGGGGAGACCATAAGCCTCTCTGAGTCTCACAGAGAGCTCGTCACCGAATTTTTTAATGGTCCAAATAGCAGGGAAAGCGCGCAGTCTCTGTTCCTAAGGTTCTCCCTAAACAGAGACGACACCGAAAAGCTGTGCTGCGTTACGTCTTAAGACCCCTTCCTACGGACTCCCTCCCAGGGTACAAATCCCGACTGCTCTCCGCGTCCAACAGAGACCACGCTCGGGTCCCGGTTCACAACCCACAGCTCAGACCAGCCACCGCCCTCTCCCGCACTCCCACCAATCGAGTCCCAGGGATCCAACAGCTGAATCTACCAACGCCGCGTCTAAGGCTTGACCACTACGTCAACGCCAGAGAGGTGACCCTCAGTCACGTGACCCAAGCCCGCAGCTTTCCTTCTCCGTCACTTCCGGGTGCGACCGCTGCTTCTGTCCGGCAGGGGGCCGGAGGTATTGGGTTCCTCTCTGCAAGTGACTGTCCAAACTACTGTCTTCCCTTTTCCCAGCGGAGGGACATGAGTGTCCCTGAGCCGCGGTCCCCGGATGGGCTCCTCACAGGGCCACCCAACAGTCTGGAGGCCGGGGAGCCGACACCGGGTATGTGCTGTTGGGTGGGACGGCGGCCGCGGCTGGGTACGAGAGGTCGGGACCTGAGTGGGTGGGACTCCGGACACTCCCGGCGGGAGTCAGGTGCTTTCGGCTGCTATAGCCCAGCGGCTGTGGCCTTTTGCGGAAATAGGGAACTGCGTCGGCCCTTCTTGCGGAATGGGCGGGAACCAAGTCCCTAGGAGAAGCGGTGTATTGGGGTGCGGTTGGAAGCGGCTGACGGTGAACTCATTGGGAGTCTGTTGACTCATATATCACAACGTTGGCTAGTTGTCATAGAGTAGTGGTTGGGGATGAATTAAAAAAGATGATCGGTGTATAATTCACAAGAGAAGTGATGTATCCGAAATTATTGACCACGCACATAGGAAATGCTGTCTTCCTTGGTGACATTACTTCATCTCTATTCTTTCAGCAGTCTTTCTCAACCTGAGTCTAGGAGAACTTTAAGACCTCATGCCCGAAGGCACCCACTGAATGACATGAATTAACTTGCTATGAGTCCAGAATGTTACTACTTATGACCATCCCTGAAGAATTGAGAAAATAATCGTATTTTTTGTATTCTGAGATTTTGATGAGAACCCTAGATGAGAAAGTCTGCAGGCCTTTGGATGTGCCTTTTATTTCCTGTTTCAGAAATATAGGGGTTACTCCAAAATAGTGCTGTCAGCACTTTCCTGGTCATGGTTTTCCTCGACAATCTCCTCTTCACACCTTTGTGATTCACTTCAATAAATAGATCTTCCTTGTATGTATCTAAAACTTGGGTCCTTCTCCTGACTCTTGCTTGCTCCTCTGGCGGCTTTCTGGATACTTTGACAGGGTTATTTTGCACTAGTTCCACAGCATGTACATAAGTAAAAACAGATGTCTTGTTAATTGTGCCAAGTCACTCTGACTTGAAACTTAGCAATTACTCTAGACTCTTCTTTTCGCTTTTCTTCTGCCTCTGTTTAGGGTGGGGGATTCTTCTGTGCGTTTTCCATCTCCTCTTTGTAATTTGAAAACAGCAGTTGTGAGGCTGGTCCAATCTCTTACTCTTCCAACACTTTTTTCCCACTCCTGTCACATTGCTGCTCCCAGATGAAGCTTCAGTCTTGTCATTCCCAAGCTTAGAAACCTTAAATGTCTCCTCACTACAAAGATCCAAACTCATTTACTTGGAACTCAAAGGCATGCACAGGGGGTCAGACGGTCTTATAGCTCATGTTGCTATGCTAAATATGTACCATGCTCCAGACAACGGCCTCTTCTAGAGCAGTCCTACACTGTATTCACAACTTTCCTCATGCTGCTTCCTTTACTTAATGATAGATCCCTTCCATTCCTGTCATAATTTTCTTCCCCCTTTGGAATAAGTCCTCACAGATTATTGGTGCCACCTCTTAGAAGGGCCGTTTTGCAATGTCTGTTTAAAAATACATAAACACTTTATCCCAACAGTCTACTTCTAAGAATTTATCCTACAGAAACAGTAACACAAATATGTAAAGATAAGCAAGGAAGCTCACTGCAGTATTGTGTGAATAGCAGAAAGTGAAAATAACTCACATAGCCTATCTATAGGGGACTGGTTAAATCAACTATGGTCAAATTCTATTCTGTTAAAAAGTATGTTGCATGGGGACAAGTTTGAGAGTTAAATAAATTTAATTAAAAATGTAGTAGACTATGTATATCGATGAGGAAAAGTATCTAAGATATATTTAAAAAGTTGAATGGTGTGAGTGATATTTCATTTGTGGTAAAGACAGACTATATGCATGCATGTGCAGACAATTTCTGCAAGGCTCTGTATGAAACTCATGACTGACTCCTGCTAGAGTTATTGGGTAAGAAGGAGTATTTAAGTTTTTAAAGTGAGTAACATTTAAAAAGGCGAAGAGAAATGAAACTCTTCCATTCTTGAAGCCCCAGCTTTAGTGGCAATACTTCCTATAGGAATGAGTCCCAGACATTCTTGGTGGAAGTCAACTCTTTCCCCTGAATTTTCATAAGAGTTTCCGTTTCTCTAATGGTATTTCTCATATTCTGATTCCTCTGTATTGTGGCCTTCCAGGGAAGGAAGTTGCCTTATTTTTTATTGTAATCTCAGAACCTAGTTAATACAGACATTCAGCAAATGTTTCTTGTATACGTAGGGTAAGAACTCTTTCTTCTCTGATCTTCCACAATAAAGTACCTTGAACTTAGGAGAAAACACAAGTAACTGAGACTTGTCCAATAATTAACCAAAGATTGGAGGGGGGAGGAGGGCCTGTAAGTTCAAATGTGTAATATATTGTAAGCGAAGTATATTATTTGTTATTCTTTAAAGTTGAAATATCCTCACTTGGGTGTTTCTGTCTGTCTGTAATACTTGTTTTCTGTATTTACTTAAAGTTGCTGTTGGTACTGTTACTGTAATCAAGACTTAAGCAATGGTATTAGTTGGCAGATACAATTTATTCACTCTCCACCTGATGGTTGATCAGTGGTATAACATCCCATGTGCTCCACTTTTCCCGTTATATTTTCATGTGTGGAGTGCTTCAGTTTCTAGTTAGCCCTTGTTTGAATGGAAAAGTCCAAAGTTTGTTTATGTGTTTCTCAGGGTTAAAATAAAAATCATACAATTTTATTTTGATTTTTAAAGAAGCTTATTTTGAATATCAATTTTTATTTGATTTTTAAAGAAGCTCACTTTGAATTTATATCTGTGGCAAAACTATACCCAGCAATGTGCCATAAGTAGTGTGTTGTGAAAAATGTATCCTATTGGGTGATCTTATTTGATTGTTATCAGACTGTGACTACAGAGAAATGTTTCTGTAATATTAATATTAATCTTTATTTTATTTGTTTTGTTTTGTCCTCAAGTTGTTGCTGTGGGTAGAGTGCTGTGGCATCACAGCTCACAACAACCTCCAACTCTTGGGCTTAAGTGATTCTCTTTCCTCAGCCTCCCAAGTAGCTGGGATTGCAGGTGCCCACCATGATGCCTGGCTATTTTATAGTTATAGTTGTCATTGTTTGGCAGGCCCAGGCTGGATTCGAACCCACCAGCTCTGGTGTATGTGGCTGGTGCCTTAGCCACTTGAGCTATTGGCGCCGAGCCTAATCATAATTTTAGAGTATAATTTTAGTGAAGTGACCACTTCACTTCTTTCTCATTCTAAATCTATGATTCTAAAATCTTGCAAACTATTAATTGAACCCTGTTTAGAATTTTTTTTTTGGTAGTAATGGTCATTGATGGGGATTTATCTTAGATATTTTCAAATGCCTGGTACAATGCTTACCCTGTTACTATTCAGAGGAAGAGGATGAGACATTGTACCTGCGTCAAGTCTAAATGTATACAGAAGACAATTATTGTACACTATTTTCGTGTTAAATTAAGATGCTGAACCTTAAGAAAAAGAAATTCGGCTTGGCGCCTGTGGCTCAAGTGGCTAAGGCACCAGCCACATACACCTAAGGTGGTGGGTTCGAATCCACCTGGGCCCACCAAACAACAATGGTGGCTGCAACCAAAAATAGCCAGGCATTGTGGCGGGTGCTTGTGGTCCCAGCTACTTGGGAGGC